TGCTTAAGAGTATCTGCGGTGCTTATTACCAATGCTTATTACTTTTCCTTTCTTTCTCTCTCCCTCTCTTTCTCGCTCTTTCTCTTTCCTTCTTTTTCTTTTTTTTTCTTTTTTTCTCTCTCCTTCTCTTCCTCTCTCCCTCTTTTTCTCGCTCTTTTTCTTTCTTTCTTTTTCTCTCTCCCCCGCTCTCTCTCAGCAACCAAATTGAAAGGAAGGGAAAAGCCAAAGGGACCCAGAAAAAAAAAACACGGATTCCGGTAAATAGGCACGTATGATACAGGGTGTGTGTGTGTGTGTGTGTGTGTGTGTGTGTGTGTGTGTGTTATCTTCCTCACGGTTTCATTTTCTTGGTTCTGCCGCTTTCACACAGAGCATCTCCAACTGACTCCCTGGCCCTGTTTTTAAACGCGTTTTTCAGGTCAAGAGGAGAGGCCGTTTCCCCCGCCTGACCGCAGACCCAGAATCCTGTCCCTGGTTCAATTCCAGTTGGGTAATCTTTGCGCTTCCCCATCTCTGCTCTTCAGTTGAATAGCTAAGCGGGGGAGAGAGAGAGAAGAGAGAGAAGAGAGAGAGAAGAGAGAGGAGAGAGAGAGGAAAGAAAGGAGAGAGAGAGAGAGAGAGGGAGGGAGGGAGAGAGAGAAGAGAGAAGAGAGACAGAGAAGCAAGGTAAGGAGGTTTGATTTTTTAACTCCGCATAAAAATGCACTTTGGGAAGAGTCTGGTCAATTGTGCCAAGCTTCCCAACCCCCAAAGGAGCATCTCCCCACCTCCTTCCTCCTGGGATACTCGTACAAGGGAGGGAACACAGCGAGGCCCTTGCTTCATCCTTGGGGGTGTCAGCCTCGGCACCCCTGATCCAGCCCCCCCCCATCTCACTACCTCCCGTCCACCTCCTTTTTTTCTGAGCAGAACTGTGACAACTACAATTATAGAACCCTGAATCGTTTGGTAGAAGAACCACTTTATTTGCAAGCCGGCCCTTTTTCTTTTAATTGGCTTCCCTCCCTCGAGATCTCGTCTTCCAGAAAGGCAAGCGTGCAAGTTGCACAGGTGTGCAAACACACAAACACACACACGCACGCACACACCCTCGCACGGAGGCTGCTGCTTGTTTCTTCAGCTCCTGCGAGGTGTCCTGCTTCCCGGGCCGGCGTTCCGGGTCGAAGAAGCGCAGCCCCCCCAGGCAGCTCCGGCCATCCAGCCGAGCCTGGTCCGAAGGCCTTGTTTTTACACCTTGCTCCGGAAGAGCGGCTTGGCCCCCGGCCCGCAATACTCGTTGTAAATGAGCTTGAAGAGGAAGAGGTGGAAGAGGGTGATGAGGGAGGCCACGCTGAACCAGAAGAGGAAAGGGAGGCCCGGGTAGCGCTTGGCCATGTGCTCCTCGTGCGCCAGGATGGCCTTGAGGTGGAGGGTGTGGCGCAGGTCCTGCAGGTGCACCAGGTCGGGGGAGATGTAGAGCAGCGGCGTGATGGGCTGAGTCACCATGACGGGGAAGGTGTGGCCGTGCGCTTGGGAGGTCAGCTCCACGGGGTCGTTGGCGCAGCCGCCCTCGCAGGCGTACAGCTTCACCGGCTTCTCCTGGAACTTGACGGAGACGTGCAGGAAGGGCTTGCTGTCGGCATCCAGCAACACCGCCAGGCTGATCAGGTCCTTGTTGTAACGGATCCCCCGCAAGGCGTAGCTGTTCTGGAGGACCTCCGGGTCGGACTGGAACTGCAGGTGGTTTTCGGTGAACTGCAGCCCGCCGAAGCTCAGCACCATCCCCTGCATGAGGCCGTGGGCCCCGGCGGCCACCAGCCCCTTGCAGCCGCGCTTCTGCAGCGTCAGCTTCCAGAGGTTGGACAGCTGCAAAACCTGCAGGACGGTGGACAGCTGCCCGGGCCACAGGTTCTCGGCGTGCATGGTGGCGTGGCCGCTGAAGCAGTGGTCGGCGTAGTTCAGCGTGGCCTCCATTTTCTCCTTCTCCTCGGGGCCGTGGCGGGGGTCCAGGAGGGGAGCCGGGGTGGTGGAGAGGACGAAGTAAAGCGTCAGGTTGACGGTGTCGCCGGAGGGGGTGTGAGCGTCGGTGATCTTGCGCATTTCCACACCTGAAAGGCAAAAAAGATCTCTCAGCGCTTTTTTTTTTTTAAAAAAAAATATTTTTTATTTTAATTATAAGAATACAAGGCTAGGTAACTGATCTAGCATTACAATTGTTACACATATATACATTTTATTTCATCGTTTATATCTCCTTTTGATATATTTATTTACTAATTATTCTAATCGTCATAACTACTACTGCTCCGACCTTGTCTTCTTTTATATAGCCATCGATAACATTTATTCCATATTTCATAATATTTAGATTCTCCTTTGTCTTTTAATTCTAGAATTAACCTATCTGATTCTGCACGTGCCATAATTTTTCTTATTATCTCTGTTTCTGGAGAGATGTTTTCATTTTTTCCAATATTGTGTATATGTTATTCTAGCTGCTGTCAATACATGTACGATTAGACACATTAAATTCTCCCTATAGCTTTCTGATATTATTCCTAGATTCCTAGGCACGCTTCCACTCCCTGTCGGCTGTTCCTCCTAATAATAATCAGGGGAAAAAATCCGGTTTAAATGGAATATACTCTCCCACCATTTGTTCCACCCACGTCTGAAGCTCTGTCCTCCTCTGGAATAAACAACCTTGGACAATAAGATAATAATAAGTCTTGTATAATAAAGGGAATAAAAGTCCACCATTAAAATTCTCGCATCGTTACCTAGCGAGGACTTTCTCTACTTTCTCCCTACTTCTCTAAGAAGTAAGAAACCTTCCCATGGCCTGTACCAGTTAGGTCAGGGGTCCCCAAACTTGGCAACTTTAAGACTTGTGGACTTCAACTTGTGGGTTGGGGGAGGAGGGAGTCTTCAGGAGAGCTCAAGTGAATAATAATCAGCAAATGGAAGGGAGGACCGTTAACAAAAATATAATCCAGGTACCAGTAACCTCACTTTATGGGTTGTCTCTATTCCCCTCTTGTTTTTCACGCGTTTTCCTCCACGTATCTCCCTGTTCAAAGACTTTGTGGTAGTTGCTCCAGAAGCTACTACACTTGTAAAGAGATGCATTCCACTGTTTTAGGAATAGAGAGATTTAGGTGCTGATAATCCATTCTCAAAACTTAAAAAAAAAAACAGCAGAAAGATTAAGGGGACTTTTATGTTCTTGTGAAACATGATGCAGAGTATGGAAATAGGAAATTGGGCTGAGAAAGATACGTTTTGGGAAATACTCGATCCTTTCACAGTACTGAAAGTAGAAAGTAGCATAGCAGGAGCCTCCAAACTTGGCAACTTTAAGACTTGTGGACTTCAACTTCCAAAAATCTGGCTGGAGAATTCTGGGAGTTGAAATCCATCAGTCTTAAAAGTTGCCAAGTTTTGGAGGCCTCTGAGTTAGCTCCTCGACTTACAAGTTTGTTTAGTAGCCGTTCAAACTTAACAACAGCACTGGGGGGGGCGGGGGAGTGAAACATGACCATTTCCCACATTTCCTGGCCACTGCAGCTTCCCTGTGGTCACCCGAACAAACCCAAGGTGCCAAGCAACCGGGAGAAGCGAAGTAACCACCTTGCGTCAACTTATAAAACATTCCTATGCCTGTTTTAGCAGTTGCCATAAAAAAAAGGGGGTAGGGGGCGGAGAGAAGGAAATCTGGAAGAGCAGTGCGCAAAGCGGAAGTACGTTCCAACTCTTATCTTTAAAAAAACTAAGATACCGGAGCTTTGGCCTGCGAATATATTTAATTGGAGAACGTGAATGGGGACACTTAGCCTGTGAAGGTGCTCAGTTGGAGAATCTGATTGATGACACAGCCAGGTGTGGGGGGGAAAACAGGGTCACAGGGGACTGTAAATGACCTAGGCCAGAGTTGGCTTCATACAGGGCAGGGCCAGCATGTCGCCTCTAATGGATCCTTTGAAGGTTTTTGAAATTTGGCCTGAGAATCAATGATTTAATTAGGGCGATTGCTGGAATCCTGACGGTACCTTGCTAACTTAAACCACTGTGCAATTGAACTTAATAGCTATGGCAAGAGAGGGTGTAAACCGGGGCAAAACTCAATTTAACAACTATCACACTTAGCAACAGAACTTTTAGCTCAGCTGTACTTCTAAATTGAAGACTTAGCTGTACTCCACACTTGCTCCGGCCTTTATAACCATCACCGTATTTTTACATGAATAATTCTGATTACACAGTAGAATATTCTGACCCAACAAGGCAATTTCTACATTCTCGCTCTGAAGAGGCAGGCCTTTGAATTGAGCTGTGCCAATTGCCCGGGAACACGAGTAGAAGATACCACGGCTCAGATATACTACTACTTTGGGGGAGAAAACGTCAAGATTTCTATCCCCAGAAACAAAAATCTGTTCCCCACAGCTCCGACTTGTGGTTTTTGCAGACTTCCTAAATCTTGCCTACCAAGAAACCATTTCAAAAGGAGAGGGTGTAAGTGACTTATTTTCCAAAGCACCAGAAGTCAGGACAAGAAACAACGGATGGAAACTAATGGAGGAGAGAAGCAACCTGAATTAAGAAGAAACTTCCTGACAGGGCAGAGAATTAACCAGTGGAACAGCTGGCCACCAGAAGTTTTAGGTGCTTCATCACTGGAGGTTTTTAAGAAGAGACTGGACAGTCACTTGTCTGGAATGGTATAGTGTCTCCTGCCTAAGCAGGGGGCTGGACTAGAAGACCTCCAAGGTCCCTTCTAACTCTATTCTGATTATGTCCCAAAGGTGCTTTTTCAACTGGATTTTCTTTTTTTCCCCCTTGAAAGCGTTTCGCTTCTCATTCAAGAAGCTTCTTCAGAATCAACTATATGAAGGTGACACACTTTAATTGGCAACTATAGGGGAAACCTTGTTTTGTAATGTTTGAAATGTGGATATGGATTGAAATTGTACACAGGACAGATAAAAGTATAATTATTTTGAAAATATGAAAACCTTGAAAAGGATATGTAATAGATTTAGACATGAATGAGAGAGTTATAAAATAAGCCTGAGGGAAGTATTTGAAGGGAAAAATTAATAAAGAACATTTAAAGTAGCGATAAGACATGAAATTGAATGTGAAAGATAAAATATGAATATGTAACTGATATTTTTATCTGTATGGAGATTTGAAAACCTAGAACCAAGCTGTTCACTAAAAAAAGATGTTTTATTTTTCCTTGTTTTGTGAAAACTGAAATAAAATTCTTTTTTTTTTAAAAAAAAGAAACTTCTTCGGTTCTTCTTCAGAACCGAAGAAGCTTCTTGGGTGAGAAGCTAAACGTTTTCAAGGAAAAAAGAAAAACTAAGAAAGTCTTTTGGAAAAAAGCATCTTTAGGACAATCATGAGCTCCAGCTCTATTCTCTAATTTGATTTAACAAACCTCGAGTCAGTTACAGGTTTTGTGGTACATTTCAGCCCGTTCTACAGCCCCAAGCTGGCTTGTAGGACCACTGGAGCAGGGGGGTCTTCTCCAAACTTTGGCAACTTTTAAGACTCGCGGACTTCAGAGCCGGCCGAAGAGTTCTGAGAGTTGAAATGCACAAGTCTTAAAAGCTGCCAAGGTTGGAGACCCCTGTGCTGGAAGGAAACCTGTCTTGTTCTAAAACTGCCACACCTCTGTGGCACCTGGTTGGTACCAAGCACCAAAAAGGCCCATTGCTGAGAACCACCACATTCAACAGCACCGTCCAAGATGGGAAGTTGGCAGCGCCCCAGCGCCAAGGCTGCCCTGCCAGCTGGTCCAAGCCAGCGGCCGTTCCCCGCACCTGAGATGAAGAGCTCGTCCCACGCCCGGCGGTGTTCCTGGACCAGCTCCTCGCTCCGCAGGGGCAGCACCTCCATCATCTCCCTCTTGGCCGCTTCCCGCAGCCGCCCGAAGGTCTCGTCCAGCTGGGCCGCCTCGATGGGCTCCGAGCTGAGCACCACGGAGAGCAGCGTCTCCTCGAAGCGCGACTTAGGCGCCACCTGCACCCGGCTGACCAGCTTCTTGGCCGCTGCCACCACCAGCACCAGTTTCTCTCCGGCCGGCTGCAGCGCCCGGCCCGAGGACAGGAAGAACTGCCGGTCACCGGCTTTCTCCAGGCTGGTGGCAAAGGAACGGCCCGAGGAAGAGGAGGAAGAGGACGAAGAACCCGGACCGGTCACTTCCAAAGCCACCAGCCGGTCAGTCGGATTGTCCACCACCAGGCGCTGCAGGTAGAGGTGGGGGCGTCCCCGGTGGGCCAGCAGCTCCTCCCGGACGGTCACGCAAGCCCCGCCGGGACCCCCGGGCTGGACGCAGCGGACCCTCCGCAAGGCCCCTTCCTTGGGCAGCAGGGCGGAGGCCCCCGCCTCGCTCTCGGCCCCGGCCGGGCCCCGCAGCTGAGCCAAAGGGCCGTAGTCGGTGGGCCAAGCCGGGCCAGGGGGGACGCCCGGGGGGGCCACCCAGAGGCGGTTGGCCTGGGCATCCAGCAGCAGGTGCCCGTTGCCCACCAGGCCCGGGGGCCCCTGGCCAGGGCCTTCCCCCAGCAGCCGGGCTTCTCTCCAGGCGCGGGTCTCGGCTTGCAGGCACAGCCCCGCCGCGCCGCCCGAGGCTCCTCCGGGCCGCAGCCGAAGCAGGAGGCGCGGCCAGGCGCCGCCCAGGTACCAGGAGGCGGCCAGCAGGAAGGCCAGCAGGGCCAGCAGGCGACGCGCCCAGCTGCTGGAGAGCAGCCCCGGCAGGCCCTTCAGCCGCTGCTGCAGCCACATCGGGGCGGCCGCGCTAGCTCATGGCGCCCCGGCGGCGGCGGCTACGCGAGTCCCCGGCGTCGGCGCGGCCTAGTCGCCCGGCCTTCCGCCTCTCCTCCTCCTCCTTCTTCTTCCGCCGCTTCTGCTTGTTCTTCTCCTCCGTCTGGGGCGGTCCCGGGCGGGGCGTTGGCGGCTCCTCCTCCTCGTCCTCTTGCGGGCTCGGAGCGTCCCGAGGCCTCGGGGGTCCCCTGGCGGCGGAGAGGCGGCCTCTGAGCCTCCGTAGAGGAAGGGAAGAGACGCTGGGGAGATAGCCTCTGGGCATGGGCAGAGCGCGCCTCTTCTTCTTCTTCTTCTCCCAGGTCTCTGAGCCTGGGCGGGCGGGCTTCTCTTGAAGGGTTTCGTCTCGGCGCAGGGGTCTCTGAGCCTGTGCAGAGCGCTCCTCTGCTCCCGGGGCTTTCCTGGAAGGCAGAGGGTCTCTGAGCCTGTGCAGAGTGCTCTTTATCGACAGCAGGAGCC